ATTGTTTAAAGGAATAATATACATTATTTACAATTTTCAATTAAACTTGCATCTAAATTACATTTATTACAATAAATATAAAACTCTAAAAGAAAATCTTTTTGCAATAATTTGATTATGATATTTATGTACCTTGATTTGATTTGCAAGATATATCATGTTTCATACTTATGATTTTTTATGGTGTATATATTCATAACCTTTATAGTTTATGAAATTATGTCTGTCCTTTTTGAGTTTTCTAATTAAAATTTAATTTTCAAATATTATAAAAAGTTTACTTGAATATCTATTTGTCTACGTCTAACAATTGTTTTTAAATTTTCTGCTACTGTTGGGATTTTGCTTTGAATTTGACGCTAACTTGGGAAAATATATGTCATATCGAAAATGTTGGCCATCTTTGGGAATATTCCCTGATTTCGCTGTTTCTTTTTTCGCTGTTTCATGCCCAGGCCATTGTGTTAAGTTAAGTAAAATTATACCAATTTCCGATTTAAAAAATATATACTCTCCCAAGGTGTATAGGAAATTTGATAAATAACACTAATAAAATCAGAATGATTTGTTATATTTGTCCTATTAAATATCCTTAAAATAAGCTAAATTTGAATTTAAAAATTTAGGCCCAAGCCCTATTGCAAAAATTTCCAACGAACCCCAGCCCGGCCCAGGCCCGCTAGAAAATTTATAATTAGGCCCAAGCCCGGCCCATGAAGGTCTCTAATTCCGATTGATAAAAGTTGCAGAAATATTTTGTCTATATCTACGCACAAGGGATACTACCGATTTACTAGACTTCCTTTTGGGCTAAAGACCTCATCTGCAATCTTTCAACAGATAATGGACCAGATCTTCGGTGACATGAAAGATGTCATATTTTATATTGATGATTTACATATAACCAGAAAAAAACGACGACGCTCACCTAAAAAACTTAATAAAAGTGTTTGAAAGAATATCATCGTTTGGGTTAGTATTTAACTTCACCAAAAGCGTTTTCTTTAAAAATAAAGTGAGGTTACTGGGGGTCATAATATTGACGCCAAGGGGATTCATGCTAACCACGACAAAATTGAAGCAATAGTAAATATGCCAGAACCAAAATCAGCTGCTGAATTATAAACATTTTTGGGAATGGCTGGCTACTACAGAAAATTTTTGAACAATTTTGCCGAAATAGCTGATCCTTTATATAAAATCTTCAAAAAAGAAAAATGGGCTTGGAACTTAGAACACTCTAGAAATTTTAATGATCTAAAGAGGTTGATTAATCTTTCTCCTGCCTTAACTTATTTTAATCCTGAATTACCTATAGGAATTGCTACTGACGCATCTAAATGTGGTTTAGGAGCTGTATTGTTTCATACCGAAAATTACGGCAAAGAAAAACCAATATCTTTCGCGTCGAGAACCTTATAAAATTCTAAATGAATTATACTAATATTGAGCGTGAGGCTCTCGCTATTATGTTCGTCATAAAGAGGTTCCAGGAATACTTAATCGGCACCAAATTTACAATCATTGCTGACCATAAACCTCTAGTCCACATCTTCACCAGGTCTTAAGGACAATAGTGCTATGTCCTTAAAACTGCAGAAGTGGAACATAACATTAGGAGGTTATGATTTCAATATAAAGTATAAAGCTGGTAAATATAATGTTGTTCCTGATTGTCTCTCGAGATTACCACAAGAATGTCACGATGAAGTTGTTGAAAATATCACAATTATAAATGACTTTGTGGATTTATATCAATTTTAATAAAATACGTGATGAAACTTTCAAAGATATTGAATTAAAACAAGTCATCAATGATATTAAGAACAACGTGCCTATAAAGAACAATATTTATAAAAACATCGAATTGGAATTTAGTATAATTAAGGATTGTCTTTACAAATGCAACAAAATCATAATTCCATATTCTATGAGAAAAATGTACTACAGTCATTACATGAAGGTCATTTGGGAGCAAAAAGAAATCAATACCTTAGCCAAAGTTTGTATGTGGTGGTCTGGTATAAATAACGACATAGACATGGAAGTGAAATGTTGTGACGATTGTAACGTATATCATGACAATCCTAAAAATAAAAATATTACGACCGATATTACTTTAAAAGAAATTTTCAAAACCATTTCGTTATATGGAACTGGAACTATAGTTACTGATAACGGCACTAACTTCACAAATAATGATTTTGAAAAATTTTGCAATGATTATGGTATTAAACATGTACTCACGTCCGCATACCCCTAGAAATCCAATGGCCATGTAGAACGTATGGTGAGAACGTTCAAAACACATATGAAAAGAAATAAAAATTGGCTTAGATACTGCACTTGACAATTTATTCAAATATAGAAACACGCGAAATGATACTATAGAAGTTACACCTTCCAAGAGAATGTTTAATCGCGACATTGGGGTTAAATGGGACTTATTAAAACCGTTGGAAGTAAAAGAGAATAAAATCAACATAACACTACCACTCAATAGAACCTTTAATGTAGAAGATTTTGTTTGGTACAAAGTACAAGGTGATGACAAATGGCGGAAAGTCATGGTCACACACAAAGAGACATGATGTTCCAAATTAAGACAGATAAAGGTATTTTAAGGAGACACTTAGATCAATTAAGAATAAGAAATTGTTTTAACACACTTATGAATCATGATTCTAACTCTAAGAATTCTTTTAAAAAGGGAAGTGTGGAAAAAATAGAAAAACTACTGATAAAAGTAATGTAATACATATTTCTAGACCAATACGAATTAAACATAACCCTGCTTATTTAAAAGACTATATAACTTAAAGCAGGCGCGTACGCAGGAATTTGGTCTGGGGGGGATAATAAATTTTTTTAAGAAATAATATTTTTAATTAAAAATACTAAGCATAAATTTATTAGGATTAATAACTTTTCTAATACACAATTTTAAACTAATGTGAATTACAAAAATTATATATATAAACCGGCATTTAAATGTGAATCATAAAATACAAAGTGAATATAACCCACGATATGAATCACTTAAATGACCCAAAATTGAAATTTGAATTTTTTGAGATTTTAAAATATATAAAGTATAAAAAATTTAAATGTTGTAAATATAAATTAATACACAAAAAGTTTCTTAGGAATAATTGTATTTTGTATGTTTTGAACTAATTTTTCAATTATCAATCCTTGCTTGGCGTTAAATGTCTATGAATATTCAAAAGATCCAAATCATTCAATCTACTTTCAGATGTTGTATTTCATAGGTATGTTTTTCACAGACTTGCAGGCCCGGCCCACGAATTTTAATTTTTTTAAATATACCCGGGCCGGGCTCGTTATTTTTTTATAAAAAAACACCCGGGCTGGGCCTGAAAATTTTTTAAGAAAAAATATCCGAGCCGAGTTGTATATTTTAAAACCAAATATTTGAAATCGCCATTATTAGCTATAAATATCAAAAATAAATATAATTTATTTTAAAGGGCTGGGCTAGCCGGGCCGGGCCTGAAAATTTTTTTAAAAAAAACCAGGGCCGGAAAAAATTTTTAAAAAAAATCTGGGCCTGGTCCTGCAAATGGTACCTCTGCAAGGCTCTGTTAATCTTCTTAAAAAAGTGAATCTTCTATCATTAGTTTACTAAAGAGCTGCTAATATATATATAACCATTTTAATAATTGGGAGTATAATCTAAAATGTGTTTGAAATAAAAAGCATCCATAGCATTTTTTGGGACTGTATCAACCATAGTTAATCTTTTAATCATAGTTATTCAGCTAATAAGGCATCATAAGATATTTTAACATCTTCATGATAAAAATATAACAAATATTTATATTTTTTTTCTATCACCATATGAAAAAGGTTGGGAGAGGGGACATTTGTTTTATAATACTCTTCTACTGATCCTATATTAATGTTTTGATGATGAGCTTGCTTGCTGCAAGTCGAGGGGGACAAATATTTAACACGTATAGCTCTGCTTTTGACTCAACAATAACATATAAAATATGAAATTCTTCAACAACACTAGCTCTATTTCCTTGAGTTCTAATAAAATGCTCTCCGCTATTCTCATCTTCTTAATCAAGTCAATGTTATGTTTTTGAAAAGTATTACATAAAATAGTTGTATAATTAAATAATACATTCTAATGAGAAAAAAAATTTAGAATAAGTATTGAATCCAATCATTTTCTTGCTTCTGAGGAAATATTTCTTTCAAGCCATTGTGATATTTCAGTAATAGCATTAATAATCAGCTCTTCTAACTCCAAAATAGCTGTTACTGTGGCAGAGACTCGATCTCGTTGGACAAGCTTGCAATTTTTTTCTCCCTGTTGGACAAGGAGTTTCAGAGATAATTATTATTTTATTAGAAATTTAGATAAATATTACGCCACTAAAATTTGAAAATAATAGGTAAATTACGCCAAGGAAAACTTGAAATCGAAATTGATTGATAAAATAACTTAGTAGATGAATGTGATAAATAAATGTAATTAAATATATATATATATATATATGAGATAAGAATAAATATTAACAAATATAAATTAATATTAACAATAATATTTTTGAAAAATATAATCCGGCATCTGCATTTTTTGGCTTTGGGGGGGGGGGGGATTTGTCCCCCTGCCCCCCCGTAGCGTACGCGCCTGACTTAAAGTATGAAAAATATATAAAATCAATATTGGACACTAAAACGCGAAAAAATAAATTTAACACTAAAACGCCTAAAACGCAAAAAATAAATTAAACGCTAAAAATATTATATAACAATCTTATTGATTTACCATTCCGATATTTGATCATTCCATTTATTCAATTTGATTCATATTATACACAGTATTCCATACTCTATATATTATTCCATACTCTATATATTATTCCATATTCATATATTATTCCAAATCCATATATTATTAAATATTCACTTATTCTAATATCCAATTTGATCAATTATTATTCCTAATTATTCATGACTTACTGATGATGATAACAATTTCGAAAATTGATAATAATGACAACCGAGTACCACAAGCAAGCTTATATGGAAATTGCGAACGATTAAAACAAGACAACGTTAATAAAAGCGATTTAAACAAACCGACGTACAAACACAATAAATGATTTGGACAAGCCAACGATTACAGCAACAACTTGAACAATCAAAACGATCTCTCGACGACAGCTTACATGAAATTTTGGGAAGGTTTTCAGAAGAGAGAGAATGTTGAATAATGATATTTAACTTATTTTACAGTCATTCAAATTTGCCTTTTACTTTTACTTTTCATTATACATTTTGAAGAATTAACATAAGATAACATCTTTATTATTTATATAGTTAGATAAATCATGCAGAATTGTGATATAATAACTTTTTTATTCAATATATTATTACAATTACAATTTCATTATTCATCTTATAATAAATTACATTTTTCTTTTTTATATTATTATGAATTACATTTTATTTTTTCTACTCTAACCAAAAAAAATGTTCCTTTTATATCTTTTTAAACGATAAATAAATCATGAAATAACCAATTATTTAAAATGAAAATTCGTTTAAAATTGAATTTAACTTGATATCAAAAAATATATCAATATAAATTGATTTTAAAATAATGTTAATACGATAAAATAAAACGTTAATATAAACTAAAAATTATTTCGCACAAAGGTGTAAATAAAATAAAATTTAAAATCAACTTTATCGACTTACTCAACATATTTTATTGTTAACCTTTTCTTATAACTTATATTTATATTCTAATTTTTTTGTAAAACTAAAAAGATATATATACGATATTAAAAAATTAATAAAACAGACGAGATATAATATTTTGGATTTTTTATTTTTTACAAATCCATGTGTTTTGCAATTACATATAAATGATACTTTAACCTCTTTATTTTGGCTATGGATAATAATTTTCGAATGTATTGTTGCATCTTCCTGCAAGTATCTCATCTTAAAGTTTACAAAACTGCACCAAACTATCACATATATATTTGTAACATTTAAATATATCAAAATCATCTAAACTGTCAAATAGATTTTTATTCAATATTTCATATGATCCTGTTTAAATTATATTTATTTATTTATATACCCATATCGATATCCATCCAAATCTTTATTTTTATTAATTTTATAATATAATAAAATGTTTAAAAATCAAACAAAGTAAATTAAAAATCCAACCTTTTCTTCTAAGAATATATTGAAAAACGTCCATAAATGTTAATTACAAATCGACAGATACAACACCATGCCCATCTTTCTTGTATATAAAACTTAAAGAAATAGAATGCATATTATATATATATAATCTAAGTAAATGTCTACATAAATTCGAATAAATGTTTTAAAAATATATAAAAATTATTATTATTTATTTTTTATAAAATTTTTTTTCTGTTCCAGGAAGTTCCTTATTTTTTCTTAACCATAAGTAATAGTTGTCATGATGCTTTTGAATATTATTTAATTATAACAGTGCTTGGGTCATAGCTTGATTGATATTGTATTGCTAATTATTATTTGTTATATGATAAATTTGAATCCTTTTATCATGGATAAATGATTTTCATTTTTATACTTTGATATATTTATCTTATTTTTACCTTTCGACTCACAATTCAACCTTTTATAATTTAACCTTTTACGATTAAACCTTTTACAATTTAACCTTGTACAATTCAAATTTTTACAATTCAATCTTTTGTAAATTAACTATTTATAACTTAACCTTTTATTACTTTTGTTTTTCGTTTTGATTATTTATATTCTAATTTATATACATAAAAAAAAATATATATGGCATATAAGAAATAAAGAAACAAAAGATGTTTTATATATTTTAATATTTTTTTTGGATGAACACACCATCATCTACATCACATAATTTTAACGGTTAGTGGGTTAAAGCTGAATGATCCATGGTATCATTGGTCAGTCATGATCATTCTATCTTAAGTTTAGTATCATTAATCCAGCATCATTGTAGTTGATTGGACAGAATTATTGTAGTTGATTAGACAGAATATTACAGTAAGAAAGTTAGTCAAATGTGTTTTTTTATTAAATTATATCAAATTAGTAGATAGTCCGTCAAAAATGATGGGGGATGAGAATTTTCTTCTTATATTTATGCTAGATGTTACCTGTTATTTGAAGATTATATCCAATTTTATTCTTTTTACCCACTCCCCCCTTCAGGCCAGGTTCAATCCATTAAAACTAAGACTAAATACTATGGTTTGAGTAAGAATAAATTTAAAACTTTTACTTGATAATACCAATATGTTAAATTTACTGATCATTTATACCTAATATTTAATACTAAAAAAAAATTCCCAGGTAAAGTACAAAGCCATAATAATTTTGAAAAATTCATCCAGGCCCAATGAAAGATCATAATAATTTTGGTAATTAAGAACTGAAACAAAACATTTAAATAATCATAAGAATTTAAAAATACAATAAAAATCAGATTTTCATGGGCCTTGGTTTTTTGATCAGGCCGAGCCCAGGCCTGCAAAATAACTTGTTTTAGGCCAATTCCTGACCCATAGTTAAAAAAATTATCAAACGTCCAAGCTCATAATAATTTTCCCCAAGCCCAGCCCAATATAATTTATAAAAATATTTTCCAAGCCCAGTCCAACTCATAATAATTTTATAAAAATTTTTCTCAAGCCTGGCCAACCCATAGTAATTTTCAAATTTTTTTTCCAAACTAGGTAAATATCTAAAAACTATTTTTATTCTATTTTAGCCCAGCTCAACCATATTTCAGACCAAGGCCAACCCATTTAGATTAAGAGTGAATACTATTTTTTTAAATAAAAATATATTTAAATTAGCTTTTACCTGAAGGCCATATAAATATTCTGTGTTAAATATTACACATATGCCAAATATTATAAAAATTCCCAAGCCAGGTCCACGCACTTGGAAAAAATTTCTCAAACCTGCCAAAGACTATAATAATTTTGGTAGTTGAGAACTGAAATAAAATATATAAAAAGTCACAATACATTTAAAAATACAATCAGAATATGAAAGTTGCATAAGCCTTGGTTTTTGATCAGGCCTGGCCATGTCTTCAAAAGAAATTTTCAGGCCAATTTCTAGCCCATATTTAAAATTAAAAATTTTTTTGAAAAATGTTTAGCAAGCTACGTCCAAGTCCAAATTAATTGTGAAAAATATTTCCCAAGCCCAGTAAAACCCAGAATAATTAATTTTTTTCTTGGATCCAGAAAAATAGTAAGGGGTTTATAAGAATTAATCTGTCTAATATATGTATACATTAATTGGGAAAATTTTTAAAAATTATCATCAAATGAAGGGGAAATGTCTGATTTACCTATCATTATATGAAATTCATGAATACATATTAAAGTACCATGCTGAAAATATGTTCACCCTAATTTAAATTTTAAACAAACCACCACCTTTCCAAATGATTTATTACTTAATTACAAATTATATAATTAAATCTAAGAAATTGATATTAAAAATAGAAAAAATAAAAAAATATTTTAAGTTAAATAATAGGAGGTTAACTACAATCATAGTCAAAATATATATAAGTAAAACAAAAAGGTTATACATTCCATCAAAAATATTATAAGTTATGAATAACATACATTCTACACATATGAAGTTATGAGAAAATATACAACACTATATTATAATAGATTGAATTATTTAATGGTAATTGAAGTATTAGTAAGTGGACAATTTTTACAAAATTATTTAATTCTTTATTTTATTCTTCAAAATATTACACTGCTAATAACCCCTGCAATTTCTCTTGGAATATCTGTCAATTTTCTCTTAAACCATACAATAAATATATTACAATAACTCAGATCGTAACATTAAAAGGTGCTGGAAAATAAGGATCTACTATATGTCAAACAATATATATGGTTAAAAAAAAATATCGATGATATTACTAAATATTCTGAGTCAATTTTAAAATTGACACAGACAAATGTAAAATATTAAAAGGCAAAAATATAAAATAGTGAACAGTATTATTTTATATATGTATATAAAATTAACTGCATCATACCTTAAAGAAATTGCTATCCCTATGTCTAATGATTCTGTACATTATGTTACTATTATTTGTTATTTATTATTGAATAATCGCTAGATCAAGATAATGCCAACAAAGAAAATGAAAACCCTATAGTTATTAATAAAAATATTCCTATTTCTACTCATAAAAGATATTATATGATTTCTATTATAATTTTATTATACAACTCAAATATAATAATTTATATATATTTTATGAAAAAATTATCTTTCAAAATAAAAGTTATTATTAGTTTTCCAACTGTTTATTAAATATTGATACAATTATTTACAACATATATTTATTTATTAAGTATATAAATAAAATTTAAATATAACCATCATCAAATAATAGGTTTATACAAAGATTAATAACTGAAAGATAATAATAACTAATAATTGAATCATATCAAACATTTTGAATATTTTAATTTTTTTAAAACTTAAATGTGTCCAAAATGTTGTTATTAATTTGTGAAAATTTCAAGGATTTTTTTAAAACATTTTGGAAGCAGCTTAATAAAATTTTAGTTAAAAATAATTTTGATAACAAAATTGTTTTATTCCTAAATTCCTGGAGACATACTGTGACATTAAAACTCTCCTTTATTCTACCCAGTTTGAAGTTTAAATTTCTTTGAAGCCAATTTTAAAAGACTTGAATATTCCAATATATTAACGTTTTCTGTAGGTTAACTATATAAACTATAAAATTTTAACCTTATGAAGATGGTAAAATGTGTTATAAAATTGAATGAATGTTAAGGTTGTTACATGATTACTATTGAACCGATTACCCTATAATCATTTTTATTGGACAAATTTTTTTTAAAAGAACACTATTGGCTAAATTTGATTGACGTTTTTTGAGGATTTATATAATAGATTATATCCAAATGTATTTTTTGTTCTTTTCTTTTAACATTATTTAAGATACACTTCTTCAGTCACAATCCTAAATATCAGATTTTAATCACCAAATTTATGATCCCAATATTTACATGAATCTTTTTATTATATAATGGATTCCATTTAAAATAATATCACATATTTATATAACAAATTCCAAAAATAAACAATATTCCAATATTATCTAATATCTTCTTTCATTATTATACCTTTCATATATTAATATAACCAATATTCATAAACTTTTAACAATATTCTTTGAACTATTTATAACCCATTCGTGACTTTTAATCCATTTAGCACGTGTTTAATATCTAACTTTACTTATTTTTAACTAACTTTCATATCTGGGATTTGCATTCTTTTAATTTCATCACATTATTCATTATATTTAATTTATCAATTCTTCTTTTTCTATATTTCACATATAAATTTTTTTTTAAACATAATACAGAAACTATTACGCCCCATCATATCCAATGGTCCAGCAAAAAAATCTCCAAAAGTAAACCTTTATCCCTGTAATATATAATGGTTCTTCCATTTATATATCACCAACCTCTAAAAGTAAACATCACAGACAGTAATATATAATGGTTCCTCCTTTTATATATCACCATAAACCTTAAAAAAATAAACCCAAAACAAAAAAATAAACTCAGACAATTGAAGCCTTTTAAACCCATAAGTTACTCTCTATCTTATCTTTTAACTTGCTCAATACATAATTACTTTATTGACTTTCCCAAATTTTCTTTAGATATTCCACAATTCAAAATTAACTTTACTTTTATAAATTTTTATATTTAAATTTAATTCTATTAATATTTTTTTATTTAAATTAATTCTATTAATATTTTTTTATTTAAATTAATTCATTACTTATACCTAAATTTCTCTTTTCAAACATATTACATTTAAACTTCGCTTTTTTCCTCTCTTCCTTTTTTCCCTTCCATCTATTCCAATTTTTCTCTACTTTCTTATTTTTAATTTTATACATTACATATAATTATGATCCTTTTACCTCTTTATTTTAACTGTGTATAATGGGTTTCCAATGTACTGTTGCATCTTCCTGCAAGTATCTCATCCTAAAGTTTACAAAACAGCACCAAGCTAGCACATATATATTTATAACATTTAAAATTATCAAATCCATCTAAACTGTCAAATATATTTTTATCCAATATTTCATATGATCCTTTTTAGATTATATATATTTATTTATATACCCATATCGATATCCATCCAAATCTTTATTTTTATTAATTCCATAATATAATAAATGTCTAAAAATCAAACAAAGAAAATTATAAGTCCATCTTTTTCTTCTAGAAAATATATTGAAAAACGTCTATAAATGTTAATTACAAATAGACAAATACAACAATTTATTTTTCAACTTTTACATCCATATTTTAAAATGAAAAGCCAAATATGAAATAAATAGATATGACCATCCTATACATGGAAAAAATAAATATAAAAATTTAGAAGCTGAAAATTTAATGCATATAAATATAAAGTGTGGTGCAAAAAAATGCTTAAAAAAAGTAAATTATATTGTATGGTTGTCCTTTATAAAATATGTGTGTAGTTTCCTTGATCCTTGAATTGAAAAATATATTTTCCGGTTCTTTTAAATTCCAGAGTATTATGAAAGATTGTTTTTTAAATTAGAGGTGGGCGCCGGCCGTGAAAATCCCCTGACCCCTCGTTTTACGACATGAGCAAATAAATTTTGAATTTCGAACGATTGGGCGTCTAGGAACTTTTCTAAAAAATCACCGGGCGTGATTATAAATTTTGTGATAATCATGGAAAATTTTAAAAGTATCTCTTTAAACCCATTTTACTCTAGAAACTACTTTAGAAGACTATTCAAAATAGATTTCTTTTTCATTATTGAAATTTAAGAAAAAAAATTAAATTAACTAAATTTTTCAAAATTTCTAACATTATTTTAGTTTTAGAAAAAGATTATATCTTTATTTTTAGCAAAATTTTCGAATTTTGTCGATTTTGAAATCTTCCTTTTCTTAAATTTAGCCTGTGTAAATCTTTCAGTCCCCGCCAGTTCGGCTTCTAGTAACCGATTACTTTCAGTACCCAATAATGGTTTACAATAGAAAAGATGAACATAACTAAAGTAAAAAATGTTGGCATCAGTCATTTTTTAATTATAGACTGATTTATAAATGTGTTAATTAGTAAATACTTCTTGTAAAATTATGGTAATCAACAAAATTATAATATTTTCAAAAATAATAATTCAATTTTTTAGGCATAAAATTTTGCCCGAGTCCGGATTTAGCTAAAAAGAAAATGAACATCCAACATGAGTTGGTGTAAATTTTTTGTAATAAAAACTGCAACTCCAGAATGCATTTCATTCTTAATATTTTATATACAAATACAATTTTTTTTTAATATTTGACATTTCATATAATATACTTGATAGTGGAGATCTGCAAAGCCAGATAGGTTAGCTGGAAAATTTTTTGAATAAATAAAAACGGGCAGTGTCAGGCTAATAAAAAATTTTGGGCCGGGAATTTATATAAAAAAATTTCGGGCTGGGCAATTAGATAAAAAAAAATCAGGTCAGGCTGGGCTGTCATAATGTTTTTATACTCATTTTCAGTTATTTACTTTCTTTTCTTCACAATATACTTTTATACAATATTATCATGTCATAATTTCAGATTTTCTTGCTTAATAAAATATATTTAAAAAATACTTTAATTTCTTTTTTATAAAATAAATTATGTTAAATAAAAATAAAGATGGAGATAAATAGGCTATTATTATATGACTTGCTGATAGCCCGAATGACGGGGAATCAGAATTTTCTACTTATGGATAAATAATAAATTTATTTATGGATAGAATGAAATAGGATGAAAGTGATGATAATGTTTTTTTACCCCCCTCCCCCCCCCCCCCCTTCTTCCTTATCTTTTTCCTTTCTCTATTGGTTAAACGATATTGACGAAGGCAGTGATAATCATAGAACCGTGAATAATGATAACGTTTCCCGTTCACTAATAATAATAATGTGTTCCACATAATTAGGATCCCGAACATCCTTAGTACAGACAAGGATTGGGGACACACGATATTGACTCTAGTGAATGACAAAAATAATGAAGGTAAAAAGAAGAAGAAAAAATCAAATAAAAACGATATTAAACTCTTTAGGATAATGGGTTTCAGGGACCGAGGTTACAATTATAGGGAAGTTGAATGCCTCTGGAATAGAACACGCTGTATATATAGCGTTATCTTCCAAGGATATATTTACCTAACATAAGAATTTTTGTTTTCTTCTCTTAAATATCTAATCAGGCGTCAGGTACATTATTATTAATATTGTTTACAATTTTTTTTTAACACTATCTTGCCGGTAACGGAACTAATGGATCCCCTCTTTCTTAATCCTCTCTTCTTTACTATGCTAGCTGACTAAATAGTTGTACCGTCCACTATAATAAAACGGGTATGCATCATGTATAGGATCTATATACTAGTGAATATACATGGTGCACGCTACAACTCCTGGTGGGAATAAATAAAATTTTACCTTTATTTGACGTTGGATGATAAGGATATGAATCGTCTGCCTTTTTTGCGAAATGATATGAACATGAATTATTATAAAAAAACAATACTATATCATACACTAATCAGGCAAATATTTTCATTTAATCATATTTTATTTACAGATTCCTTATTAACCTCATTACATTATAACAAGACAATTTTTTGGTATATTACAAATAATTTAAATTGCTAATTTCTCTCCCTCATATCAAAAATTTAAATTATTACCATAATATATACATAATTTCAATATCTACAATTAAATAATCCTCACCAAGTAATTATATCATAAATTACTAATTTTACCATTAAATTTTACATTCTATACCTCTCTATTATATATTTTTAATATTCAATTTTTTATACATAAGATATTTAACCCATATTTTTATAGTAGAACAAATTTTTACTCTATCAATTAAATGATTAATAATTTCATAAAAATCCTTTAAATCTAAATAAATATATTTTTTCATTATCAAAAATATTCATATATACTCTATACTAATAACATTCTCCATAGTGGAGAAAATCCATTATATGATACAAATATATTACTTACTCAAATATAATTTAATAAATTACTAAACTCAATAACCAAACAATTTTTTTCCTCTCATTAAAATTTTTTACTTAAAAACTAATCTTTAATTTTTATAACCCCATTTCATTATTACTTTCTTAAAAACAAACAAAATACTTTAAAAATAAACATGAATAAAATCTTCTGCTTTTTTATTTTTCCTTTCAACCATAACAAAATAAATCTTAAAATGTCTTTTAAAAACAAACTCCAAATCTCATTCAACATTCCAGGACTTTTAAGTAAAATAACGATATTAAAAAAGATTATGGAAGAAAACAACATAAAAATCCTTATGACCCAAGAAACAATAATTAACAACAACATAATAAAAAAATTAAGAGGATACACATATTTAGATCAGGCACTTCCAATAATAGGAATGGTTTATCATTCATTATAAGAGATCTAAACTACTAAAAATTTCAATCCCATAACGACAGAATATCATCCATCACACTCAATAGCAAATTCATCTAATAAATATATATGCACCTGCCAAACCAAACGAATATCTAAAATTTATAACACCTAAAAAACCATCTTAGACATATAAAAAAAATCATTTTAGCATAATTGGCGGTGATTTAAACATGAAATTAGGCAATGAAATACAAACATTCATATAGGTAACGTTACCTTAGATCAAAAAAAAAATAACGCTAAAAAAATCATTGAAATTTGTAAACTTTTTAATTTAAAAATCATAAATTCTTTCTTAAAAAAAAACAATAATTATTTCACTTTTTAAACATAAATCTTTATGTAAAAGTCAACTAAATTTTTTTATTACAGGCATAAATTGAGTTTTTACATAAAAAATATTAATATTCTAAATAATATCGACTTTTTGTTACTCTAATTATTAAACCTAAATTATTACATAACCTCAATAAATCCAAAAATTACACACCTTTAACCTCTAAAAAATACAACATCAACAATTTAAATCTACCCTCTCCATCCATCAACTTTCATAACAGTTTGAAACAAATAAAAAATAATGACTCATGACTTAACATTTCTAACTCAATAATAAAAGCCGCCATTTCAAATTTAAATATTAAAACTTAATATCCAGACTGGATTAGCCCAGACACATCAAATTTTATTAAATTACTGCTAATAAAAATATTAAAAAAAGGAAAAACAAATATATAAAAAATCTTATTAATAAAATTAAAAAATCATTTACTTTAAAATTAACCCAATTCAAATTTCAAAAATAAAAATGATCGTTATAACGCATTTAAAACCTTAAATTTCCTTACATATTTTTTTTTTTTTCTCTTTAGCTTTCACCTTTTCTGGTGGTAAGCTCCTTCAACATCTCTCTCCACTTTATGTTATTCGTACAATCTCTTTTATCTATTTTATACTTCTTTATATTGGCTCTAACTTTATGGCCCCATTGAAGTTTTGGCCTTCCTCTTTTACGTTTGCCCATCACTTCCAATCTTTCAACTTTATTTCCTATGTAGTTCATAGGCCTTCTCATTGTGTGCCCATACCACCTAAGTCTGTTTACCATTAACTTAGTCTTAATGGGCACTACCTTTAAACTATTTAGTATTCTTGTACTGCGCACCTTATCCTTTCTTGTTACCCCAGCAATCATCCTCAGCATTCTCATCTCCATAGTTTGTAGACTTCTCTCGTCTGATTCTTTGGTTGGTCATGTTTCCGAACTATATAGAATAGTTGGTTGTACTATGGAACTGTAAATTTTTCCCTTTAATTTGTGTGGGATTCTTTTGTCAAATAGCACTCCAGATAAAGATCTCCACTTTAACCACCCTTGATTAATCTTATTCTTTATCTCTTTTTCTATTGTGCCGTTTGTTTGTATAGTGGAGCCCAAATATTTGCAGCTTTCAATTGCGGATATCTGCCAATCATTTATATCAATACTCTCCGTTTCATCTCCTCCTATCACCATATACTCCGTCTTTTCTCTATTTACTTTTATTCCATGCGTTTCTAGGATATTTATCCAATTCACTAACCTTTCTTTCATTTCATCCTTGGATTCGGCAAGTATCACAATATCATCTGCAAATATCATATTCCACGGGACTGTTTGAGGTATAGACTGTGCTAATACATCTATTACTGTAATGAAGAGAAGTGGGCTGAGAGCCGACCCTTGATGAACTCCTTCGGCTATTGTGAAGCCTGCTGAAGTACCTGTTGTGCTACGGACCATTGTTGTATGTCCCATATACATATCCTCTATTATTCTTATATATTTTTCGGGAACTTTTTTGTGGCGTAGCGCCCACCAGATAAGTTTTCTTGGGATTCTATCGAAGGCCTTTTCTAGATCGAGAAAGACCATGTGTAGCTTTTTGTTCTTTTCCCTGTATTTTTCACTCATTTGCCTAATTGCATGGATAGCATCGGTTGTTGATCTTCCAGGCATAAAGCCAAACTGTGTCTCTCCTATTTCGATTATATCTCTTAATCTTTTTTCTATTATTTTTTCGTATAGTTTTAGACAGTGTGACATTAGTTTTATGCCCCTGTAATTTTGACAATTGTGTGGATCCCCTTTATTTTTGAAGATAGGAACTAGATAGCTCTGCCTCCATTTTTGGGGGACCTCTTCATTTCCAAGTATTTTATTGTACAGATTTGTGAGGAGATGTATTCCATCATCTCCTAGTGCTTTAAGGCTTTCTATTGGAATATCGTCTGGACCCCTAGCTTTGTTGTTTTTCATATGCTTGAGGCATGTGATTATTTCTTGTTCTGTTATAGGTTGTACAAGGTTTTGACAAGGGGAGTGTTCGTCGAGATGCAATATGTGGGAATTAAAGTTGAGAAGCTACTGAAAATATTCTTTCCATCTATTCATTATTTCTTTTTCCTTTATTATCAATTTCCCATCTTTATTTTTGATTACTTTCGGAGCTCCGTTTATATCCCTAGAGTTCTTTTCTCGCTGTTTGGCTAATCTGTATATTTTATTTTGCCCTTCTTTGGTATGTAGATCTTCGTACATGTCATCGTATGCCATAGATTTGGCCCTAGCCACCGCCTTTGTAGCTAATCTCTTGGATTTTTTGTATCTTGACTTGTCATCTGCATTTTTGGATTTGTACCATATTTTATAAAGGGCTTTTTTCTCCTGTATAGTGGTTTGTACCTCTTGATTCCACCACCATAGTTCTTTGTGTGATTTGTTGCCTCCTCTTGTCAAGCCTAGCGTCGATTTTGCAGTGTCTATTAATCTGGATGAAAGGTCTGTCCATATTTTTTCACTGACTTGTGAGCAATTTATTGTTTCAATGTTTGCATTGATTGCAAAGGCATCTGTCATTGTTTTTAATTTGCCCCATTTGATGCATGGTTCCAGTTTTATCTTATTTTGAGTGGATTTATTTGAGATTTGTAAATCCATGATTAGTAGCTTGTGTTGCGCGGCGATATCTTCTCCTGGGATGACTTTGCAGTCTATTACATCTTTTAATCTTCTGCGAGAGATTAGCATGTAATCTATCTGTGTTTTCCTAGTACCACTTTCATATGTTATTAAATGACTATCTTTTTTCCTATAGTAGGTGTTGGTTAAGGCAAGGTCGAAGGCTTGCGCAAATTTCAGTACGTGCTCTCCTTCATCATTTCTTTCTCCGTATCCAAAACCACCATGATGCCTTTTGTAGCTATCTCTTGCTTTCCCCACATGCGCATTTAAGTCACCACCAATTATGACTAGGTCATCCTTAGGGATTTCCATTACGGCTTCATCAAGGATAGCTCTAAAGTCATCTTTCTCTTCTTCCTTGCAACCCGTTTGAGGAGCATATACTGATAGGATGTGTAGTATTGATTGACCAATGCAGAGTTTTATCTTCATTAGTCTATCAGAGATCCTGTTGACTTCTACAACTGAGGAGGTTAGATCTTGACTGAGGATGATGCCGACACCGTTCCTATTGCTAACAAGTCCATTATAGTACAATTTATACCCATCTCCAATCATCAAAGTCTTCTGTCCTTTCCATTTCGTCTCTTGTATGCACGCTATATCAACTTTTCTCTTGTTCAACATTGATGCCAATTCTCTCGTCTTACCTTTAA